TCTACATATACAAGAAATGACAAATTTTCTTAAAGAAGAATATGAAGATATAAGTTCTGGAGCAACCCAGATCTCAGAGATGTTCAACTCAAATATGAAGATATTGTTGAATATCACTACTAAGCATCATAAATATGTCATAGAACTCAAAAATCAAGTTGATGCTATTGCAGCACAACTAAAGGATATACTGTCTGAGACAGATATACCAAAAAGCTCAGAAATGAGTTTTTCAAATCAATACCAAACAGGGATAGCTAGAAGCAGTAATGGACTCAGACGTGAAAATATACCAACTGATAAAAAAGGAGATTCTATTTCAGTATCATCAACCAAAAAAGTGGTGATACATGGAGATAAAAGAGATTCCACAACTATCAACATCATAGACCAAGATGATACAATCCCTTTAGATCCAAAAGAAGAAAAGTATGCCAAAATAGTTAGAATTGCTTATGAAATAAAAACAAGTGATTCATATTTCATTTCTCCGAAAAATAATGTTTATCCCAGAATAACAGCCATGGAAGGAGGTGATCCTTTATTTATAAAAATTATGACAGAGTATGGATTTATGGATTTGATATATCCAGGAAAAGATTTGATTGAAATTTCAAAATTTGATGATATATTCATAAAAGAAGTATCAATATTTGCCAAGGGACGACGAATATATTTGAAATTTTATTCAACAAGTCCTGAATATGATGGAGTTGTTTACTATCCAGTTGAACACATAATCTCAATTGGATATGTTGCAGCTAATTTCCAAATAGACGTTACAGAGAATGAAAGAAAAATTTCAACAGCGATAAAGTCATTGATCAGACATAGAAGAGCACTTAGAATTAAAATTATGTACAATATTGCTAAAAATTTGTTTAATAAAAAATTTTCATGCTTGTGCCAATATGAAAACTGGATGCTGATATCAAATGGAGGACATGGAAAATTAGAAATCTTGAAGGACTACATTACAAGATTCAAAATATATCAATTTTCAAGATATCCGACCACTATAAGAGAATCCTGCCAGCTGAGGGAGTACACCAGCTGCATGTGAAGACAAAAAAGATAGATGACAATAATAGAGAAATATACTATTTGGATAAAAAGTTGAAAAAGCATGTGGAAATATAGAAAAAGAGGACAATAATAGAAGCTCATTAATAAAAATCGGAGGCTACATGTGAAGATGTAGGTCCAATGAGGACAATAATAGAAAGGCAAGCGTATCTTTTTTGATGTATTGAATGATGTAATAGATCAATGATAGAGTCTCATGTATTTGTATAAATAGAGACATAGTAATAGAGAAAAATCATCTTGAAATCAAAGTATCTTCTCTCAAATTGTAAGCTTGATTTGTAGTGGAGAATCAACATTTCTAAACCCAATTTTTTTGGAAATCCCTTTGTACCAAATAGAAGCCTTGTATAAATTCTGATAGAAACAAAATTTCAATATTTTGATATCAACATGAGTTTCTAAATCTTTATTCCCAAATTGTATAAAGTTCATAATCTTCAGTTACTTATAATAAATTTCACTATTTTTTTTAACATCAAAAGATGACGATCCTTTGAAAAACCCAAAAAAAATTTGACAATCTTCCCTTTTTTTTTATTTTTTAAGTGGATCTCAAATGTGATGTGAACTCTTGAATTTTGAATACTTGTTTGTAAATTTTTGCATTTTACTTTAAATTTGGTTTGTTTCCTTCTTTTGGTATTCAAGAATGACATTGAAATAAATTTCAATAATCTGATTTAATTCTTTTTGCATTTGGATACTTGCTCTGTCCTTAAAGATCGTGAATTGAAAAGAAGCAATGATAACTTTGTGAGTGATGGATGGAGTGTAACTAGTGCAAGTTTAGTGACCATTTGAAATCAACTCAAAATATAGTGAGTAAAGTGTGATGATAGACTAAGTTCAATATATAACGAACAATTGATTCTTTCAGACATAGCAGTCACGCAATATTTATTTGACAATTTTAACTTCATCAAATTGTCACGTCGGATTTCGTCTGTTCACATAGGCTTCCTAGGCAATGGTAATTTTGTGGTTGATGATGAATGAAGTGCAACTTGTACTAATGTATTGATCATTTAAAAGCAATTTAAAATAAACTAAGGGCCTGTTTGATATAAGACATTTCCTATGGAAAATGAAATTTAAATTTCATGTTCCATCCAAATGTGTTGTTTGATAGATAAAATTTTCCATGAAATTCATTTTTCACCCTACCCCACGTTACCCAAATTCTTGGTTTTTAAGGGAAATGTTTTCCTTTGGTTTTGGTGACAAAAGTGTTTTCCAACTTCTTTTTTTTTTTTGTTAATATATATATATTTTTGCAATGGAAACAAAATCTACCACAATTGTAACAAAGTTTATCATTTTAATTGACATTTTTATGAAAAATAAAGTCAAATGAATATCAAAAGATCCAAAATTTTAACATTTTAAGGTGAAAAATTATATCAATTAAATACATTTAATTAACAATTCTTAATAAAATAAATTCTATACAATTCAATTCCCTAAAATTCATTTTTTTCCACCCAAATTTCATTCTTACAATCAAACGGACCCTAATTAAAGCATAACGACTAACAAAGTTGAATGTGTAGTTATTTTCATCTTATCCTAATAATATCTCTATAAATAATAGTTCAAAATTCTCTCTCTCTCTCCTCTCTCTCTCTCTCTCTCTCAAATGTAGTTAAAAAAATAAAATAGCAATTCGTGATTCAATCAGACTCTCGTAAACTTCTTATTAATTCAATAAGCGCGAATTTTGAAATTCCGGTCCAATTTGTAAGTGAAATCATATGCAGATTGTCTTTTGAATAGATCTAACTATATTCTTATACATGATTATTATTTATTTATTTTACTTTATTTTACAGGATTTCAAGAAACATTGATAAACACACTCCGAGATTAGATCTTGCAAAATCTATGATCTAACTATATTTTTTATGTATGATTCTAAGACAAATAAAGTTAATTCAATTTGATTATGGACAACGATTATCACAGTTCCGTTTCTTTTCGGGCATCTCGGAAGAATCAGTACCACGATGCCAAAGGTAAGAACTAATTCAAAGTATAATTTGGATTTTTTTAAAGGTATTGATTATTGGGTTAATCAAATTGAAAAATAATGCAGATCGTGAAGGGGGGTTTTTGAGTGGCGGGAAGTTGACGCAAGATTATAAAATGAAGATTATATGGAAAAGGGGTTTCATTAAAATGGTTCTTGCTGTAGGCATTATTTGGATGTTATTAATTCTTGGTGTGTTTTTATTTCATATTTGGACTTGCCAATCTTCTGTCGCTGTCTTTTCAGGTACTGATTTTGATTTTTTTCCCCTTTTTGATCATACTGCAGGGTTCCATTCTATGTTTCTGATTTTCCTATGAATGTTGAAATTAATTGTTAGGTAAAATCTTCAGGTTTTGTTTGAGGTATAGTCAGTTGAAGAAAATTTTATAGTACAATTTGGAGATGGTTCTAGTTCTGGGTGACCTTTAAGAATATTAGTAGAAAATTGAGATCTTTTTATAAGATGTTCATCTTTTCCTTATGAATTTACTTGAGAACTCTGTAAAATTCCCGTCTTTCATCGCTGTTTTAAACCCTGGTATGATGCATCATTAGACCCTTGATCAATAAAATCAAGATTTTGCTTATGATTTCTTGATCCAAACAAAGTAAAGAAGAATGCATGAACAACTTGAATTGCTGATGCTATCAGTTGGCCAAATTTCAAGTTAGCACTCATGACTGGTACCCAAAAATATATTATTTGGATGTTGCAAGATCAATTTCCTTCTTCACTTTCTCTCAACCCTTGCAGGCCAAAGTTTATCACGTGCCCAAAGAAAAAGAGAGAGAGGATATAAATGAAACGAAATGAAAATGACAGATAGCTTCTGCAAATGCAGTACCTAGTTTATGTAGAAATTTTGATAGTGTGAACTTTAAGAGGCTTACATTAGTTTAAACGAACTGATATATGCTGTTCTGGTATCTTTTTCTCCAGGTAGCCAAATATTTTTTCTTTATATCAGGGCATAATTAGTTGCCTGTTTTTCTTTACTTTCTATATTTGTAGCTCTTTGTAACAAAGACGGCAAGGTTTTTGGCGTGCTAAACTCAATGGGACTTGTGAAACTTCCACACCGTAAGACTAGAGATTTTTCTCTTTGACCATTATCATTTTATCTTAGTGAAGTGGTCATTTATTAAACCGTTTCTTCTTGTTCACAATTAGGTTGTCCCATCCCTGTTGCTGATGATCCCGATAAAATTGTTATTCCCACAAGAAAATCTCCTGAAAAAATAGTCCAAAATCTATCCTACATTATGCGGGACAATATATCAAGTAATGGATCTCAGTCAACATCCCTATTTGGGGGTCACCAGACCTGGCAGCAAAGAGATGAGAGCTTTAAAGTAAAATCAACCATGAAGGTGATAAACTGCTTGGTACTTATATTATGAGGTCCTTTGTTTTATTTTTTAAACCTAAGGCTGCGGGGTCATATCTGCAGTCGCTCCTGGTAAAATTATTAGAGAAATTCATTAAGAGCTTAAAAATTGGCTGTGATTCATATGCATGAACAGCTAATAAATTTTTTTCATTGTTATGCATTAATTTGTTGAGGTTTTGACATTAAACAAAATCCTTGTAAAAGTCAAGTCTTTTCGGTCAAATATTGTTAAGTTGTAGAGTTTTTATCACCTCGTTATATAAATATGAATATCTACTTTGAAAAATTTTAAATTTTGAAAATAGCAATTCCTTTTCTTGTAAAGGAAAAAGAACAATATCTTTTTAACTTCTTCAATTGGGATTTCAGAATTTGTAATCAAAAAGTAGCGTTTTTAGGAACTCAAGTGCGTATGTTGGTTGCATAGTGTTGCACCTTTTTTTCTTCACAGAGGTGGAACCTACTCAACTACTAAAGGGATGATACCAGCTTAAACTTTTTCCTTGTTGCAAGCTAAGAAATTTAATATTGTTAGGTTGAAAAATAGGTCTAATTTAACCATTGAGCCTCAGATTTCTATCCATAGGTTCAAGTGAATAATGTCAATTTCAAAACGAGGACTGAGAGCTATTGAGAACAAAGTATATTTCTGAGTAAAATGGAATGCAAAGTGAAGGATATAAAGAAGCATAACGGTAAATCTAAATTTGACACATACTAATAAATTAAATTAGTTCTAACAGCTTGCTTTTCTTGACATACATTTACTATAGAATTTTATGCATCAAACACTAAATGTTCCCCATCTATAGATCTAATTTTAACTGTTAGATGTGTATATAACTCCAGGTGCACTGTGGTTTTATGCAAGGTGGTGGTGCAGAAATGACTCTGAAAGATGTCAAATACGTGAAGAAATGTCGATTTGTAGTTGCATCTGGCATTTTTGACGGCTATGATACGCCTCATCAGCCTTCAAATATTAGTAAACGGTCAGAGAGGCTATTCTGTTTTCTTATGGTGGTCGATGAAGTATCTCTAGACTTCATCAAGAATAATGTAACAGTCAGAGAGGATGATGATGGAGGGCAGTGGGTGGGTATCTGGCGATTTATTCTGCTTAAGCACCAACCTTATGATGAGCCTAGAAGGAATGGAAAGGTTCCGAAAATATTAACCCATAGGTTATTTCCTCAAGCTCAGTACAGCATCTGGATTGATGGTAAAATGGAGCTTATAGTTGACCCATTGCTTATTCTGGAAAGGTACAATATTTCTTCATCTTGAATTTTTTGAGCCAAAGTGTCTTCATTTGTACGATTGTGGAAATATTTAAGGTGACATGAAGTAAAGGAATTTGCAGAAATTTATTTTTTTATTTTTATTTTTTGATGACCGTGGGTGTCCGAGCCAATTTACGTGCAACTCGACTAATTCCACAGGGCCTTGAAGTTTACATCTGGGTATCCACCTCAGTGGCCTTGAGGGGACTCGAACTGGTGACCATTGGAGAAAAGGAATTTGTAGAATTCGCTACATAATGGTCAAAATTATTGAATTAAGCCCTTGTTTCAGCCACATTATTGCAATAAAAATGCATTTTTGAATAGTGTATTAATAGGAAATGTGTGGTAAAAAAATAAGGAAAAATTTTGGATTTACGTGTAATATTATTTTATTGAAGAATGTGTGGTTGAAATGATGTCAATTTACTGTTGAAAAATGTTTTTTTTTTTTGAAAAAATGTGGTTCAAACATGGCCTAATTGTATACTTAATCATATCAATAATTCATAAGTTCATATTTAGGATGATTACATAAAGGGTGTCACATCAAATGTCGGGATGCAACCTTTTCTGTACTGCCTGTGTACTCTCAACTGCATAGTAGAATTTTGGGAGAGAGATGATCAATTGAGTGGAGTTTTTTCATTAATACATCAATTTGACATCTAATAAGGGGATTATGAAGTAGTAGCATTATGGAAAATCATTTACGTGCAAGATGTGTGTGTGTGTAATTTCAAGTGCTTTTCTTCTTCACTTGCAGATATTTATGGCGCGGGAAGCACACCTTTGCCATTGCTCAGCATAAACACCACCGCAATATATATGAAGAGGCTGATGCAAACAAAAGGAGGAAAAGATATGCTCGGCCTTTGATAGATCTACACATGAAAATATACCGTTGTGAAGGAATGGAGCCATGGAATCCAAATAAGGGTACCGTTAGTGGTAAGACGAGGTCTTTACAATTTATGTAAATAATTGCATTAATCTATTGTGTTTTCTTTTTTCAGCTTTTGTTTAGTAACTGATTTTCTTTAACTGCAGACGTGCCTGAAGGAGCCATTATCATACGTGAACATACAGCATTGAATAATTTGTTTAGCTGCTTATGGTTCAATGAGGTTAACCTTTTTACGCCAAGAGATCAACTAAGCTTTGGATATGTCGTCTACAGGTTAGGAGGTCTGTTCAAAAATTTTATGTTTCCGAATTGTGAATACTACTCCATCTTTATTTTGCACCCGCACACTCGCGAGCATTCATCTAAAGTAGAATGGGTAAAATCTTTAGATGAGTTTAAGAAAAACACTGAGTTGAAAGAAACTAGAGGAGGATTAGGCTTGTGGACACCATATCCCAGGAACCTTGATCTTGTTGTATTACCACCTGTAGCCAGAACATCAAAAGCAGGATGATATTAGATCCATATTTTTGTATTTCAATATTAGAATTCCATTGTGTTATTATATTTCATGTTGGTAGTGAAATAATATGAATTCTAAATGATGCCATTCATTATCTCATATGGAGAACTCGAGCAGTTGAGTTCTCGTTGGTTTAAAAATATTAAATGCAACTTATACCCTAATATCTACTAATTGTTTTCTCCTTCAATTACAAATGGCCCTTTACTGCTTTTAAAAGAGGGAAAAGCCGATCAAGTAAGGATTTGTTTTACCAGCAACTTGAAAATTTCCTGTCTCTATTTTTGTTTGATCTTTAATTCACAATTAAATTTGTGTAGCCCCTTGATCTTCTAATTGCTGCTCAAGAAGTCGATGTTTAATTGGTACTATTAAACCACAGTACAATCTACAAAATTTTAACTTTCTTTTTTTCCCTAATACTGTCAAGCATTGTTTAATCCACTTCACTTAGAAATTAAAAGATTCAATGAATTAGTACTTCGAAGATAATTTCATGCTACTTTCGGGTTTAAGAGTTGAACAGATATTAAAACAAGGCTTTTCTACTGTCATTTATGTTTATGATGGAACGATTAAACTTTATTTAGGCGAATAATGCTATTAATCTCAATTGGAGTTAATCACCAATCTATTTGGCTGCATTGCTACCACGTAGATTAACTAATTCTATGCACTTCATTGTCTATGCATATAGATCGTTGTGATGCATTGTATTAGAAGAAAGAGGAAGTTAGAGATCACTTTTAGATACATTGGGTTAGAAGAAAGAGGAAATTAGCTACCGTTTGGCCCTCATTATTTGATATTATAATTTTTAGAATAGTATATATATATATTTTTTGGAGAACGTGTGGTTGAAAAATAAGGAAATTTTTCTGGTTTATATGTACTATTATTTTATTGGAAAATATGTTGTCAAAAATTTATTGGAAAATATGAAATTTAATATAAATTTAATGGGGCTCAAACGAGGGCTAGAGATCACTTTTAGAGAAAGAAAGTGAAAATGTTCACTTTCGTTTGTTAGGTAATATCTATTAAATTTTTGACAAATATACCCTTCTTGCTTCAAGAATATGTTAGAATTGAGTTGTGACCCGAATTTTTGTAAAGTATTTGATTAGAAATACTGTTGGAGTATTGGAAATAAGTAGTAAACTTGAACCTAAATTTCAACCTAAATTCTCCATTATTTGTTTTATTCATTGTATTGAGACTTCAACTTATATTAAACTTTTCATATATTAATTCTCCTAGTATTTTAGGGATTCTTTGGCTATAAATATGTGGTGTACAACACATATTGGAATTGACCAATTATCCAATTAGTTATTGATTTAAAGAAATCCTTTGTAACTCCTTATTATATTATAGTGGATACTCTGTCTTTGCCTGTGGTTTTCTTGCATTTGGATTTCTATGTAAATCTTGTTTTCTTTGTGATTCATTATCTTCAATTGCTTTTATTTTCTCGTCTTTAACTATTTGGTTTGGTTCTCAACAAAGTGGCATTAGAGCCAAGGTTTTGACAATTCTTGAGAGAGTCAGATTTGTTATTAAAGCAAAGTTTGAACAATGTTGATTATTTCAGGATGGTAAGTATGAAATTTGAGATTTCGCTTTTGAATCGCAACACCAAATTTTCTTATGACGAATTTTTGTTTGGGCACTAAAGGAGAAGCAACTTAAGGAATAGTGATCTTGTTGCTCGTGGGGATAATTCGAACAAATTTACAGGAGTCTCTTCAATTAAGATCTTGATGGATTTTTAAAAAATTATAAATCCTAATGAATTTCATGAATTTGAATAGATTTTCCCAAATTTTATAAGAATCTCATCAATATGGCGAGATTTCAAAAGATTTAGTTATAATTACTTTTAAGGTTGAAATCCATCCAAATCTTTTAAAATCCCTCTGTTAATGAAATCTTTGCAAATTCACTAATTATTTAGAATATCTAAATTTTAAAGGATTTCATTGAATTTCATTAAAATCTCAATTGGGATACTTATATTTTAATGGATTTCATTAACATTCATTGAAATGTCAATTGAGAATTCCTAAATTAAAAGGATTTTTAAAAGTGGAAATTACACAAATGCGGGTGTTTAAAGATACAAATTCTAAAATCGGGTATAAGGTTTAGTTAAACACAAATCAGGTATTAAATAAGAAATTAAAATTCTTCCTATCCTCTCCCTCACTGTGTATCTCATTTTCTCTCTCACCTCTCTCAACCATCGGTTTGCTCTCTCTCTCTCTCTCTCTCTCTCATCAATGGAGACCATCGCAAGCTCTTCGCTCGACGAAGACAATGACGCCTCTACAATGCTCGGTGAGAGACGATGTCGTCGTCGTGGTTGATGCTGCTTCTGCCTGTGTGACTGATTTTGCTTGTGTAGATATGGTGGTGCCGATGGCGATGGAGGTGACAGGTTTGGGGTTTTTTTTGTTGGATGGTGGCTGTGATGTAGCGGAGATGGCGGTGGTAGTAGGAGGCGATTTTATGTGGTGGTGGAGTGTTGAATTTTTTCTTTTTGTTGGATGGTGTTTGTGATGTCGTTCTCTGACGGTGTTGTAGTAGTTTCAGATCCTGCGTTGCAGCGATGGTGAAATGTGACGATGGTCGCTACAGTCGCAACTTAGGTGTTATGGCAAATCTGGTTTGGTTTTGAGTGTGGCGGATCTGGTGGTGAACTGGCGGCGACTATTGTGGTTGATGGGTGGCGATGGTGGTGAAATGAGAGTTGAAAGCTGCTTTGGAAGTGAAGTATATGGATTTGGCGACGTTGAGGGAAGTGCATCTAATGGTCGCGACGGGGGTGGAGATGGTGAAGCGGTGCTATTTGTGGTGTTTGAGATTGCAATGTTAGCTGTGACTACGTGTTGGTTGGAAACGGTGGTTGTGGTGGTGGTAGAGATGGTGAGTGGTGACGACGTTGCGGTGATGGCTTTGGTGGAGAGTTGGCTTTGTATGTGTTTTGTTGGTGGGGAGGTGGTGTTAGTTGTGACATTTGAGATGACGATGCTGCTGGGAGATGGTGGTGGTGGTTTTGGCGGTGGGAGTTTTGTTGGCGATGTGGCTGGTGGTAGTCACAAGTGTTTTGATTGTTTGTGATCAAGAAATTGGCGTATGTGACTAACCATTTAGTTGTCTGTGACCAACTGTTTAAGTGTAACCCTAAAATTTGACAACCTGTGACCAATTAATTTGATTTAGAAATAATCTGTGACCTGTAAATTTTTCATCCGTAACCTCGAAATAATTTTTGAAATACAAAATTTTTTATTTGAGACCTCGAAATAATTTTGTGACAAAGTAATTTGATGATATGTGATCAAAAAATAAATCTGTGACCTGTAATTATGAATCTGTGACAATTAATCGAGTAACTATGACTTCCTTATATTTAATTAATAAATATTTTCAATTAATTATATAGATAATTTAATTAATAAATATTTTCAATTAATTATATAGATACTTGAATTTTGAATTTTTAAACTCTTTATCTCATTTATAAATTGGTGCAAACAATACACCTCATTTATGAATTTTTCCCTTTTTAAAATTTATCTCAATCTCAGTTGATGACACCCCTCTTATTAATTGAGATGGAGTTAGTTGTGAACTTGATGTTTCTGTTATTTACGGTGATTCGAGCAAGTTTGGTGCCCAAGGTAATTCCGCAGGTAAGCAGCGCTTGGATTCAGTTCACAGTTTCTGAGTATTCTTGAAGGGGTATGGTCAGGGGTGGAGCCAAAAAATAGTACTAAGATGGGCTGAAATTTAATTTTTTTTTGAATGAACTCACTTTGCAAGAGATTAAATTCATAACATTCATGATAAAGAGTGTACAACGCTCAATGAAATAAAAGAACTCTAGATATTTTCACTCTACGATATCTCACTAAATTTTTTTATACTTTCTTACCAAATAAAAAATCGACGCTTACGTTAAAAATATAAACTAACCGAACCATGATCGAAATAAGTAAAGATACATATCCATCAATGAAAAAAAGGTTGTAGTTCATACTTTATAGCTTGCAAAGATCCTGATTGGCTACTTCGTTGGCCAAAAGTAGCATTTTTCCCAAAATATGATTTGATATAGCCAACAATCTTTTATATCGCTTCATTTTATAGTGAGTGAGAATCATGTCTAAGGAGCAAAATCGACTAAGAATTATGAGGGTCCAAAGAAATTAGATTTAATAGGTAATATATGAAAACATTTGGAAAAAAAAAAATTTAATTAATTACTTTTATACTTAGCAAAACATGTAGTACATAGTGACTCTAACTATTAAAATAAGTAATTTCTAGATATGATAATACAAATTTTCTATTATAAAAATTTCTTAATTACCATAAGTGAATTTAGTTAAACACACATTAAATATAAAATGCCTAATTTAAAAATAAAATATTCACATTTCACAAATATCATAAAAATAGTATTTGATAATTATAGTCTTCAATAAGTTTGATTAATTAAGCATTTAGTTTGGTTGGAATTCAAACTAGAGCTAGACTAACACAAATATTTAGACCAAAAATTAACAAAATTTTCTTAATTATACATATGGATTGAGGGGTTGGGCTAGGCTATAGACCATCCCAGCCCCTCAATGCCTCTGCCCATGGTTATGGTGGAAGAAGTGAAGTAATTTGGTGGAGTGTTTTGTTTAGAGATTTTGTTGAAATTGAAGAGTTGAGTTTTATTCCTTGCAATGGAATTCGTGTTAATGTGGAGTTTGTTATAATTGAGTTGTGACATGAATTTTTGATGAGTATTTGATTAGAAATACTGTTGGAGGAGTATTGAGAGTTGGTAGTAAACTTGAACTCGTCAAGTATTAATTCTCCTAATATATTTAGGATTTTTTTGTTCTAAATATGTGGTGTACGATACATATTGGAGTTGACTAATTGATCAATTGTCCAATTAATTATTGGTCCAAAGAGTTCCTTTGTAACCCCTTACTGCTGATTATAATGAATTTTCCCTCCTTGTTCGTGGTTTTCTTGGATTTGAATTTTCACGTAAATCTTGTTTTCTTTGTAATTCATTATTT